CAAAGACAAACGCAAACAAAGACAAAGAACAATAAACAAAAAAAAAACGACAAACAAAGACAATTGAACGACAACCAAAGTCAAACAAGAACAAAGACAAAGAACGACAAACAACAAACAAAAAAACATCAAACAAAAACAAAAAACAACCAAACACAAACAAAGACAAAGAACGACGAAAAACACAAAAACAACGACAGACAAAGACAATGAGACAACCAAAGACAAACACAAAGACAAAGAACGACAAACAAAACAAAAACATAAAAATGACAAAGACAAAGTCAGACAACCAAACAAACAAAACAACCAAAGACAAACACAAACAAAACAAAAAACAAAAAACAACAAACCAAAAACAAAACAAAACAAAACAACAAACAAACCAAAAACAAACAAAACAAACAACAAACAAACAACACAAACAAACAAAACAACAAACAAAACAAAAACAAAGAAACACAACCCCCGAACATAGAAGAAATGCCACCGTACATAGAGAAGACTTAAAAACAATTCGCCTTTCGTTGCGAGTGAATCATTGAGCAAAACAACGCAAATAATAGATGTGCCGACGGCAAATATCATTTCCTCTGTTGACTAACGTGGTGTAACAGCCTCCTCTGTTGCCTGACGCTTTTTTTAGGGGGGGTCTGTTTGTTTGTTTGTTTGTTTGTTTTGGTCAGTTCGGAATGTGGTGTTAACTTTTTTTTTGTTTGTTTTTTTTTTACTTTTTTATGTATTTATTTTTTTTTTTTTTTTTTTTTTTTTACTTTATTATTTTTTTTTTATCTATTTATCTATTTCATATTTTATCTATCTATTTATCTATTTATATTTATCTTTACTTTTTCGCGTTATCATTATTTTCTCTTTTGTGTGTTATTGTTTTCTTTTTCTTTAATTTCTTTTAATGTTATAGTTGTTATGCCTTTTTTTTAGTAATTATTTTTGTTATTGATTTTGCTATTATTTCTCTTATCATTGTTTTTGTCATTATTTTCTTTTTATTATATTTTTGTTGTTATTTGTATCTGTTGTTATTGTTATTTCACTTTTTTTCTAATTTTTATCTTTATTTCAATTTATCTTTAATCTATTGCTTTTTTTTACCTTTCTTTATTTTCGACAATTTCTATTCACTCCTTATTCGTTCTTCACATTTTCTTTCTATTTGTCATTCTCTTTCTCTGTCAATTTATTTAATTTTTTCCTCGTTTCTTCTTCTTCTGTAAGCCATTTATTCTGTGTTCGTTTTTTTCCATCTTCTCTCTCTTTCTTTCTCTCTCTCTCTCTCTCCTTTTCTTTCTTTCTCTCTCTCTCTCTTTCTCTCTCTCTCTCTCTTTCTCTCTCTCTCTCTCTCTTTCTCTCTCTCTCCTCTCTCTCTCTCTCTTCTCTCTCTCTCTCTCTCTTCTCTCTCTCTCTCTCTCTCTCTCTCTCTCTCTCTCTCTCTCTCTCTCTCTCTCTCTCTCTCTCTCTCTCTCTCTCTGTTATTGTTATCATCGTCATTTTTTAAACTTTCAATATCATTATCATCATTATCAATATTATTCGTATTTTTATGTTATATTGCTCTTAATATTATCATTATCACTATCGACTTCATTATTATCCCCATCGTCATTTATATTATAATTATTATTTATTTTTGCTATCATTACTAGATTGTCACCACTCTCATTATGATTATTATCAGTATCATCAGTATCACTAACCTTTTTATCATTATTTGTGTGATTATCATGATAATGATTTTTACTATCATTATCATTACCATCATCCTTATATCATAATCATTATCGATAACATTATTACTATTATTATTATTATAGTTACTGCTGTTTATGTTCTAATCATTATCATCAAACTAATCAAAACGATCATTAAACACCACCAAAATCACCTTCCATATTTATATTCTTTGAGGATGTTATTAAACCCGTTTCCTGCTCCCTCATATTATATTTCCATGCAATTTGCAATTGTTAAAAGAAAAAAAAAATGACGATGTGGCGACAGCTGGCAACTTCCATCTCTGTTTACATCCTGGACTGAAAACACGTGGAGTCGAGTTGCCAACGCTGGATATTCTAACCCGATTTCTCAAGGTCCGTTTCTCCTTATAGACTGCATATTGGGAAGTCACTGGTCAGAAGGTCAATCGTAATTGGTCTGTCGCTGAAAGAAAAAAGAAAACAAGAATAGTAACACGAGCGCATTATGAATAAAAAAAGAATGCTAATTATCCGGTAAGTACAGGTAAAAAAAACAAAAACAAAAAATTACCCACTTTTACGTTGCAGTGGAAAGTTATCATACAAGACGTCATTATACTGGATTAGGATTTTCCACTAATTAACTCCACTCAGGTTGAGCACTCGGGCTCCATCAGACCAGAAAAATATTATTATCAAGTTTGGTGAAGACATATTCTTACTGAATGGAGAACTTAAAACAAAAGAGGTCCATTCGCCTATTCGTCGCATTTTTGGTGAAATAAGGTAAAATGTTCAAAAAGGAAAAAGGAGGAAGAAAAATAAGAGGAAGAGAGAAGAGAGAGAAGAGAGAGAGATAGAGGCAGAGAGAGAGACAGAGAGGGAGGGAGGGAGGGAGGGAGGGTGGGAGGGAGGGAGGGAGGGAGAGAGAGGGAGGGAGAGAGAGAGAGAGAGAGAAGAGAGAGAGAGAGAGAGAGAGAGAGAGAGAGAGAGAGAGAGGAGAGAGAGAGAGAGAGAGAGAAGAGAGAGAGAGAGAGAGAGAGAGAGAGACAGACAGACAGACAGACAGACAGACCAGAGAAACAGAGAAACAGAGAGACAGAGAGAAACAGAGACAGAGACGGAGACAGAAAGAGAGACAAGCAAACAAACAGTGTTATTAATGACTAAAGGCGGAGAAGAGGGGAGACATAAATATGTATATATATCTATTCTTTTCACCCCCCCCCCTCCCCTGAAACCTCTATAATGTATCTCCAGGATTATTTCACCGTGAAACACACACACCTGTTCACTTCACCGCTGACCTAGAGACAAACCAACGACCTCAAGACAGTACAAAAAAAAAAAAGAAAAAAAAAGAAAGAACAACTGTTGAAAGAACGTTT